GCAGAGTCCTCATAACCTAAATACCCCCCAAAAGGCCCCACCTCCAAACACTGCTGCATTGGGGGTTAAATTTCCAACACATGAATTAGGGAGGGCTCACATTCAAGCCATGGCAGTCCCACACAAGGTTTTTCAGTTGGTAAGAGGCACAATTTGGACCCAGCTCTTTGGCCTCAAAGCCATGTTTGCTCCATTGAGTCTTAATGCTTTCTCCCTTTGCTGGATGTGAACGGGTTGCTGGAGTAGGTATCACTGGTTACATCTCCCTCCTGGCAGCCCCCTCCTCTCCCTCCTGGCAGAGCCGCGATTTATTTAGTTCAAGTCCCCATGCCTTCTCCAAGTGACTCAAGTCTAAACCAGTCATGATCATCCCAGCCCTCTGGCCAAAGACTGGTCTAGAGGTGGGCATGGGATATAAAGGGAGGTCTAAGGAAGGGATTCTACTGATCTTAACAACTGAGTAAAGAAGACACTCTTATTCCATGGACAGTTAGGGTTTTGATTTTCCACTGGACTCGTGTTGTTTTGATGCCTATACTACTGCTCACGGTAGTCTTTGGAAGAGCACCCTGGCCAACTTCCTTGACTCTGGGCCTGTGGGCCTTGGCTCATCTCTGGATGGCACGGAGGCTGGATCTGTGGTTCGATGGCACTTCCCTGCAGGTCCACACTGGCCTGAGGCAGGGAGCCTCCACCCAGGGAGAGGGTGCAGCTGCCCCGGCTGGATGTCCCTGAGCGGCTGGCCCAGCCGCGGCCCAGTATGTGGATTCAGACCCCCAGTTGCTCTCAGAGAAGGCTGACAGCCAAGCCCTGGGCCACGCCTGGGCCACGTGCTTTCCTTGATGCTTCAGTAACAGTGGAGGGAGAGTGGGAGGGAGGGAGAGTGATCGGCAGATGAAACCTCCATAAGGAAGCTTTCTCCCTGAGACCCTGCTTACCAGGCACTTGGGCTTGGAAAAACCCTTTCTTCACTGAGAGGCCCAGTCCCAAGCAGAAACTTCCAGTGACCAGAAGCTAAGTTCTTACACCTGGACATTAACCCCTTAGCTCCTGGTACTGTGGCCGGCTTCCCAAATGGGTTGAGTAAGTCTCAATCGAATGGTTAACATTAGCAGCGCTAGATGATTACATGATATTTCTATTTTCTGAGCCCTACTTCTTCATTTCACTTTATTCTTTTGGCAACCCAGCGAGGAAGGTAAGGGAAGGATTACCAAGCAGCCAAGTGACACTGGGAAATGCCTTGATTCTGCACCTACCCAATCACACGCAGGCCTGGGATTAGGTGCATCCATTTGTGGTCCCATTTAGTCCTCACGGTGACCCCGGCAGTAGGAATTACTACCTTTACTTGAGCAAAAAGGATAGTGGGTCTCAGGGAAGAGAAGAGGTTATGACCCTGGGATTTGAATCCCGCACTCTTTCTACCACTCCGGGCTGCCTGTGTCGCATGACTCTTCTGGGTCTCAGTTTCCTAGATGGAAAATTAAAGAGTTGTAATATGGAATCTCTAAGGTCAATTTTGGGTCAAACGTCATGGTTCTATGAATATTATCTTTTACTATTAAGAAATGGAATTGAAGTCAGAGGTAGGTGAGCCCTGCTTAAAACCAGATCGCTGGGCCCCCTTCTCATTGTTTGATCAAGGGACAATTGGAGTGGCTTCTGGTATTAGAGGACCATGGATGAACACAGCACATCCAGTTGGTTTTGGCAGCTTTATCTATTTAGCATCCAGGCAGCCAGCAGCTTGTCCCTTTAAAAAGTTCCAGCCTCTCCTCCCAGGCAAGCAGCAGCCTGAGACTCTGACCCAGGCTGAACACCTTGCGGGGTGAGATCCAAACCATAGCGTCTAACTAAGAGCTACCTCCCTGAGCCCTTACTCTGCGGTAAGCACTGTTCCAGGTGGGCAGTAACTCATTCAATCTTGATAACACTCTATGGGGTGGATATGATCACACATACCCCATTTTAATGATGATGAAATTGAGCACGGAGAGGTTAAGTAACTTGCCCAAGGTCACACAGCTAGTGTGCATCAGAGACAGGATGCAAACAGAGGCAGTCTGGGTGCAGAGACCACACTCTTTACCTCTGTGCTCTACTGCCTTGTATGATGCATTAAGCTTAAAAGACCAGGTGACTTGGTGAAAACTGCGTATATGGCCATGGATGACAACCTGAGACATCACGAGGGTCTGGAAGAATTCTGGCTGGGCGGTGGAGTCTGAAGAGATGCCCTGTAGCCCTGAAACTTTGACCTGTGGGAAGAAGGAAATGTGGAAGGAGTTTCTCAGCCCCAAAACAAGTCCTGAGGAAGGTTCTTTAAAGGCTACCTGCCCCTGTACCTCCGGAATGGATAGCCTCGGGCCACCAAGCTGATTTGGAGTTTCTGACAAATAGAAGAAGGTTGGTTCCAATGGTTTTTCTACATGTCTCTGAATACTCCTTTGCACACTTGTAATTATTTAGTTAATTAGCTAATTATTCATTCACCTAACGACTAGGCCAGCATTGTTCATCATTTTGTGATATGAGCCCTGCACTTAGGGGTAATCAAATATTTGTCGAACCAATCAATGACTGAATGAAGGGATGAATAAAAATCCAGCCCTGTGGTCTGAAGTATACTCAGAGCTCTTGGGGAAAGACCTCAAAGGGGAGAGCACAAACATAACAAGTTGGCATTTGAGGAAGTATTTGAAAGGAAAGGCAGGCTTTAAAAAGGAGGAAGGAGAGGATTAGGGAGGTGTATTTAAGAGAGAAAGAAACACTGGCAGGAGGCGGAGGGTGGGGGAATTGTGGGCACAGAACCTGAAAGGGAGCCTGTGAACAGGGCCAGGGCTACCAAAGAGCCCTTGTCCCCAGGCCTCCCTCTGGAGGGCCTGTGGCCTCCCTCAGCGTCCCCTCCCAGCCCCCATCCCATCCCTGGGGCCAGCCCCCCCATGTCCCCTCTTACAGGAGTGTGTTCTAATGGTAAACATTCTATCCTTGCTTTTTGAGGACAGCAGATTCTTCCAGTTCTGAGTGTGGGGACCTAGTCTCTGGGGGTATCTGTGGGTGAGTTTGCACGAGCCCAAGTCCCAGGCTGGCAGAGGTGATCTCAGGAAGGCACACTTTGGCGGACTTAGGGCAGTGTGCTCAGAAACGCAGGCGTCAAACCCTGGCCTGGATCGCCTGGAGCTGGAGGAGCCTTCCTGGAGGTGACAGCCCCGCCCCTTCCTCCTCTGGCCCCCAAACCCCCACCCCCACCCCCACCCACACAAATGTCCAGTCACATCGGCCCCCTTGGCTCCTTTCCACACCTCTCTCTGCCACGCCACCAAGATTGTTGAGTGCAAGAGGAAACGCCACCTCCCACAGAAAACCTAGGGGACTTTTTTTTTCCCGTTCAATAAACATTTGCTGAAATAACTTTTTATTGGTGGTTGTTTTAAAACACATAGCAGAAAAAGAGCCCTGAGAATTATTCCCACCATAACTTTTGTTCAGCTAGATCTGTGTCATCAATGTGGGCCTCAATTTCCTCCTCTATAAAACATGGCCCCTTGCTCACTTTCATCTTCTGCAAGTTCCTGCTGCACAAGATGTGACCGATAATTACATCTCTACTCAGCATCTGTTCGACATATATTCTTTAAGTGCCAACAGCACTTACAGAAAATTATCGGGGATACAAAAGGAATTATTTCTGGCCCCTGCCCATGATTTATATATTAGTGTCCACTGAGTGCCAAGCACATGGTAGGTGCTATAGGAGTTTTAAAAATTTAAGATATCATCCCCACTTCTAAGGTAACTTCAAGTATACTGGAATGACAATACACATGTGAAATAAGGAAAACAATTTTAAAAAATGGCATATAATTAAATGTCAGAAGAGAAGGTCAAAAGAGGAAGAAATCACTGTGGGTTTGACAGATCTAATTAGGTGACACAGCAGTGGGGCTTGGGTTGGCTGAAATGTAATGTTGATGGTGATGATGATGATGATGATGATGATGATATTCATAGGCAAATTTACTGGGCTTTTTAGCACATGCCAGGTTGATATGGTGCTTCATAAGTATCATGTTTAATCCTCACATCGACCCCTTAGGGTAGGCACCATTATTGTCCCCATTCAACTAGTGGAAAACTGAGGTACAAGTGTTTTATGGAGGAATCTTACCAATCTATGATCCCACGTTCTGGGAGTGGAGGAACAGGAATTAAGAAGAAAGGAAAAATTGGAAAAGGGTCTTCAATCCTTCTAGAACCAGCATTGTGTGAGTGCTAGGTGGAAACATCTTTGTAGTATTCATAGAATGTTTAATGTCTACATTTGCAGATTTAACTCCCTCTTTTAAAAATAACTTGAGGCCCCTGGACTATACATCTCTAAAATTATAATGTACCTTCAAGAACTAAGCCAATACAACACACTCATCTCAGATCATATTTCTGTGTTATACTTGACTGTACTGACAACCCAGTTTGACTTCCATGACAATGGGGGAGCCTGTGTTAAGGGGGAGAGGATTTGGGGAGCCTTGAGATTTTGTGACTGTGCCTTTCTTTCTTCCATCTTCTGGGGTACCCTTTGTCTCCTAACTTCTTTGCCTCCTTTTATGTCCCTAGTTCATTCGTTATCAGCATCTCCTAAGACTGACTCCTAGACCAGCTTCTGTTCACTCATTCATTAATTAATTCAATACTCATGTGCTAATCACCTACGATTTGAAATTTAATGTGACTAAAACATCATCTTTGATCTAAAGGAGTTTGATGAGGATTTATAGTCCTGACGTCAACTTCAGGAACCACCTATACATGGATGACTTGTACAGTGACATCCCCAACATGGGTCTTTTATCCACTCGCCATGTTTTTTCAGGACATATTTTGAAATATAATATTCTAGGAGAAGAATGCATCAGGTTTTCCCTAAATCACTCATGTCCTCATTTCCCCATTTTTATGAATATCATTCATTTTCCTGGGCCTCTAGTCTATCATTCTTTTTTTTTTTTTGAAAGCAGTTACTGTTTATTAACTGACCAGATTACAAAAATAATCATGGTAGACACCTTAGTTCATTCTTCTGATAAGCCTATTGATCTGGTCCTCCCTGTTGCCAGCATCTCCACCTTCTACAAAATGGGTTGTCTTTTTCTTCATTCCACCCCGTGGAGATGATAACTTGAAGGGCCACAGGAAATTATTTGCTTCTTTGAAGCGTTTCCCAACAGTATAGATCTCATGAATCAGATCCTCCATGCAGATGATGCCATATTTACCAAGAGATCGAGCAATCAAATCGTTATCTGTCAACGCAATTCGTTTCTTATTGATTTTGCCATAACCACGCTTGTAGATTAGTTCATTTACTGACTTTAGGTTTGGGTACCCCCATGCAATATATGGTTCTACAATCCTCAGCATGTTAATTGAAGCCTTGTTGAGCTTAACAAAGGTTCCATTGAAGATCTGCCGAAGGCGAAGAAGCTGCAACACCTTTCGGACCTTTGGGCTCACACCATTGATACCACGGATCCTGATGACAAATCTTTATGGGAAGGGATCATATCTTCTCTTTGCCTTGCCTCCTCAAATAGGGTGGTACCAGGTGCATGACTCATAGCAAACTTCAAACAAAGCTGTCTGACAAAATAATTCAAACGCCTAACTGAACCCTGAGCAGTGAGATGGCAGCTCAGTGCAGTTCTGTATTTAGTCTCTCAGAGATTGAGTGGCATTCGATGGATGAAGCAAGAATAGCAAACAGGTAAGATTCCATGGTGGCAGTTCAGCAATCCTTTATAAGCTTGACTTTGGGTCATTTTTTTCACATATGTGTCAGCATTCTTTTGGTGGGAAGTGTCAGAAAACCTGACTGAAACTATTTAAGCAAGAAAAAGAAAGGGGATGTATTGACTCAAACACTGTGATGTCCAAAGACCAATTCAGCATGTTCTCATGGCATGTTAGATTCAGGGACTCAAATGATGATCTCATGGCTATTACTCTTTTATGTGTCTTGGCTTTCTTTTTCTCTGTGCTGGTTTCTTTCTCAGCTAGGCTCTTGTCACATGACAGGAAAAATGGCCATCGACAGCCCAAACTATATCCTTGCACTGATGTTTTAAAGAAAAGGAACTCTCCTCTTCCTTGGCATTCACATATTAAATCTCAGAGAAGACTCTGATTGGCCCTGTTTGGATCATGTGCTCATCCCTGAACCAATCGCTGTGGCTTTGGACATGGACTACTCTAATTGGCCAAGTCAGGTCTCAAACCCACACCTATGTGGGGATGATAAGGCACTGGGACTGACACCCCTCCAGGGCTACAGGAAGGAGGGAGAGGAGTGGTTCTCCAAAGAAAAGAGTGCTGAGGAGAACAACATACATCCACTACACTCCTCCTCTCCCTAACGACACCTGCCTCAGCATTTTAACCAGAGAAGTTACCATTTGTTCTCCCTCCAAGCCTTATTGTGTTGGGAAATTAAAAGAGAAGATGCTGGGCTTTCCCGGAGATGGCTGCATTTCTAGGGGTGCTGATTTATTCTTAAACCTTTAGACATGTTTTATAAAATTCTCATTGGTGGTTATTGGAAGATAAGCTGCCCGTTCCTAGCTCACAGATTTTCTTCTCAGATATTTCAGCCTTGAATTTATGTATATACACATCTATATGTATATATATTCACATATATATGAATTTTTAAAAACTTTAAACCAGTCACCTACCTCCTTCACTCCCCCCTCCCCAAATCACTACCATGTAACTTCCCCTTCTACCCTAGGGAAGAGCGTGGGAGGCTGGTTTCTGCTGGTCTCTCCTGGTGGGTGTTTGATTGATCAAAGGAAGAGCAGCAGGAAGAAATCACCATAAACAGGTCTCTGTAATTTCCAGACTATACAATAGCTAGTCTCAATTTCTTGTTTGATTTCACAATACCATCCTGCCCTTCATCCTAAGAATTCTGCATGGCATATGTTTTTGTTAACAGATATTTAAAGGCAAGGACTTCCAAAATCAAATGCCCCCAGGAGCCATGTAAGCTGGGTGGAGACTGTACCAAACTGGGGTGTTTAAGTCCCCTCTCAAGAGGCACCTTATAGAAGGCTCCAGCCACCGTTGCCATAGGGAGTACATGCTCTGGTAGATATTAATTGTTCACTAATTTCTAGCTCCCTTCTTCTCCATGATGCATGGGAGGACTGAGCTTCCCTGACTTTTGAAATTAAGAATGGCCATGGGACTTGCCTTGGACAATGAAATGTAACCTAAAGTGATGTGTGTCACTCCAGGAGGAAAGATTTAACTTCTAGCGCTTGGCCCTCTCTACTTTTCTCTCTTTCTCTGCCATGGTGACCATGAATACACTTGTCAAGATGGAGATGCAATACTGAGCCACTACCTTTAGGACAGTTGCCCTGGGAATCACCTATATACACAGTTGTCTTATGTCGGTGAAGAGTAAGACTTTCTTGTGTCAAGCCACTGAGTTTTGAGGGATGCTTACTACTGCCGCAAAACCTAGCCAATCTTGGCTACCACGTATGCCCAATGCTGCCTGACTTTGGTTTTTTTAAGAGAAGTTATAAATCTAGATTTTTTTTTTTTTTTTGAGACAGAGTCTCGCTTTGTTGCCTAGGCTACAGTGAGTGCCGTGGCATCAGCCTAGCTCACAGCAACCTCAAACTCCTGGGCTCAAGCAATCCTTCTGCCTCAGCCTCCCATAAATCTAGATTATTATTTAAAACCTTTGATATCTTAAAAAAAAAATGTAATATTGAGCCAGAAAATCCTAATTCAGCCTGCCAGCTACTAGTTTGCAATTTTGGTCTACACAGTTGGAATAGAGAATGGAGCAGTAATCCTATCTGAACCCCTACAGTGGGTATAGTCTAGATCACGTAATTAGCTCTTAGCTGCTCTTAGTCTTGCTGTTCATTAGTTTGTAAGTCATTCTTTCTAACTAGATGGGAGGTGGGGACAGGTAAAGAATCATGTCTTAAACTTTGTGTACCTCATAGGCACATAATAGACTGTCAGTAAATAGTAGTATGAAGACTAGTTAGTTGATTGATGGATTACTCAGAACTATCACTTTCTCCTTTGTTATTGGAGGAACAGGTCTGGGAAACAAATTATTTTACCTCACCATTTCCCTTTTTCCTCTTTGCAAAGCGCTTGGAATTCACTGATGTCCATTGAGCTTTAAAACAAAATAGTCCAAATAAATTAGAGGGGTAAAACCAAATGTATTAATCAGAAATTTTCTAGTTGCAAGTAATAGGAAACCTACATTTAAACTGCCTTAGACCGATCACTTGTCTGTCCCAAAGAGCCACTGGTAGATCAGCTCCACCTAGCAACTGCGGGGAGAAGCAAGCCCCTGTCGGCATAATTGAGCCAGTTTATGGCCTCTCCTTCCAGCCACTTCCAGAGGCAGTGACTATGTAAAGGGGCCTGGTAGGGGGTGATGTGGCAGGAAGGGAGGTCTTAAAGCCATGTTCCCATAGAATCCTACATAAAATTGAAAAAAATTCATTTCAAATAACAGAGAAGGCTAATGAATATTACAGAGAGGTGAAGGGAGCTAAAGACCCCCCCAAGTCACCTCTTGGTGCCACCCCTGTAGCACGTTAATTTATGGGGGAAGCAAAGGCCCAGTAGGACGCTGGTGGCCCAGCCACAGTCCATAGTAGGCCCTGGAGAGGACTCACTCTAACCACACACGCTAATAATTAGTCCCTGCACAAAGATCAGTTTAGTTTATTCAAAGTCTCAGCCGAAGACACGTAAAGGAACATTGCCCCTGTTCAGTGTTTTGTTCCATATAAACATCCAGACCCTAGTCTCGTGGGAGAAACGTCATCAGGCAGTTTCATGGTGCCCAACTTTGATCTTTATGCTGCGGTGGAGGTGTAGTTGGCCTTTCTGGGGCTGAGAATCATGTTCTTCCACAAGACTATCAAATTACTACTCGTTTTTTGAATGTTAAGTCTTTCGTGGTCTTCCTTACCTCTTACAACACCCATGTTGAGAGGGAGACTGCTGATGGTGAAGGTGAAAATGGTCTGGCAATGTCATGGGACTTGGTCTGTCTCTCCTTTCACGTGGGAAGATTTCCAGGGACTGGGGAAACACAGACAAAGCCTCTGCACTCACAAAGTGCAGGGGGAGACATGCAAGTTGGGGTTTGCTCATTTGCTCCCCTCTGTCTCCAGTCTTGTCGTTTCTTTCACTCTGAGCATCTGCACTCCAAGAAGGCATGAACTTTTTCTTTCACTTCCTTTCTGCTATGGGTGATGACCTGACATCACTCTAAGAGGGAGGCCAAAGCTCACAGAGTATAAACATCCTCACGGCTATCTGGCTTAGGAAAAGGTAGGGGTTGGCTGGGCACCCAAGGGCTGGGAATGTAGGAGGTGCCAACCCTGGAGCCACATTGCTGCCTGAGGGCTCAGTCCCGCTGTGCCTTTACATACTGGAGGGCACCGTGGATGTCACATTTCCTCTGGAGTCCCCTTCACCATCGCCTCTCTAGGAGGATGGAAGTTGCAATGGGGAAGAAGGCCATTTGGGGTCTGCTGAGGACTTGGTCTGCTCACGGGTGTATCCTGAGCGGAAAGGAGAAGCCCCCTGGGGCAGGGCACAGGCCCAGGGGTCAAGCTTTCTCTGCAGCTGCAGAGAAAGGGGTCTCGGGCTGCAGCCCTAGAAGACGCGAGGCTGGTGCAGCTGTGCCGCCTCAGGGCTAGGGGCGCTTGCGGAGGCCGATGTATAGGTCGGGGCAGCGGTCCCCAGATGCCTTAATCCTCTGCCCATCCTTCTCCACGGAAAAATCACACAAGCTGGCGAGGTTGCCCCTTCACCCACTCGGTCCTGGAGAGTCCAAGGATGAAATCGCGCTGAAATTCTCCCAGTTTAGGGAAAAGCGCCCGGACTGAGGAAGATGGTCACCACAGGCCATGCGCTAGGGGGCTTTGGGCTGTCCCGCAGCCGCCCCCTCGCATCTCCCGCGGGGCTGCGGCCGTGCCTGGCGGGTGCGAGCCGGGCGGCCGTGCGCGGGGGTGCTCTTACATAACCGCTCGCCGCGTCCTGCTTTCTCGCGCGCTCCTGAGCCGCGGGGTGGCAGAGCCGGGGACTGGATGGAGCCCGCGCGGGCGCTGCGGGGCCGGGGCCGCCCCTGCGGGGAGAGGAGCGCGCGCGGCGGCGGGAGGAGGGCGCCAAAGGCGGCGGGGGAGGTGAAGGTCAGTGGGTGTGAAGCGCCGGATCCACACCCCTCCTCCCTGTCCCCTCCTTCCCTTCCTCTCCGTCCCCCTCTGACGTCTGGAGCTGGCAGCTCGGCCGGTTCCGCATTCCCGACCCCTCCCCGCCGCCCAGGGGCCGCTATATAGCCGGGGCTGATGCAACCGGTCCCGCCGCCCGCCACAGCCTGCGGGAGGGACGCTCGGCGGCCGCGACGGGGGGCGCTGGCGGCGGCGGACGCTGCAGCGGCGGCGGGGCTGGCGCCGCGGCGGCTCCCAGGCCGGGACGGGCCTGGGACCGGGCGGAGTCCGCGGCCGGGTGGCAGCGGCGCGGAGTGGCACGGCGCCTGCAGCCGGGCCGGCCCCGGGGGCGCCTCCTCCGCCCGCGGTTCTGCACGGTGGGTGCCAGGGCGCGCGGGGGGCGCCGGGCGGGGCGGGGCGGGGCGCGCAGGTCCCGGGCACCTGGGACAGCCGCCCCGCGGAGCCCCGGAGCCCGGCCCCGCGGGGACCTCCCGCAGCCTCGGGACCCCGAGCTTTCTCCGCCCCGGGCGCCGCAGCCTGGGCCCCTCCTGCGAGGCGGCTGGTGGCTTCCCTGTGGTTCCTGCCGGGGGACGGGAGGCTCAGTCCGCTGCTCGGGCAGCCCGGCGCTCCCTTCTTCTCCCTCCCGCGCTCTCCTCCCCCGTCCGTTTGCAGGGAGGTGCTCTCCTCGGGCAGCGGGGAAGGCGGGGTGAGTGGGGAGAAAACTGCCCGGGGAGAGGGGGGGGGGGGTGGAGATGGAGGGTGAAAGGCCAGGGAGATGGGGAGGCGGAGGTGGAGGGATGACAAGGACCTGCTGGCAACTCGTGCCCCCTGTGCCTTCCTCGCAGGGAGAGAGCCCGGCTCCTGGAGGACCCGGACCGGGAGGAGGGTACTGAGAAGGGCTCAGGGTTTTGATCCAATGAAAGGAGCTTCTCTCAGGGCCATTGCTTTGGGATTCTGGGCTGGGAGGGGGCCTTGGGGTGCCCAGGGTCCCCTCTGCTCTTCCCTGTCTCCCACACCAGGTTACATAAGGAGGCACTCCGGCTCCTCTAGGTAACCAGCCTCTCCCCTGCCCATCCCAGTTTAGAAGGCTGTCTTCTGCGTTCCCCTTAAAGGAGGCTGGGGGGATTGGCCCTTCCCCCGGGACCCCTGGACCCTCGGGTGGCAGAGCCAGGCTTTGCCTGAGTCAGTGGGAGGAGCGGGGGAAAATGGGGAGGCTTTGGCTGTTTTGCAGGGATAGATGGGCCATCGATGAGGCTAGAGAAGGAAAGGCGAGTGGAAGGGGAAATCAACTGGGCCTTTGGGGCATCTCCAGTTGCAAGACTGCCTGACCCTTGCCCATGTGCCACCCTCCCTCATGGCACCCAGAGCATGGGGCTATGGCCCCAGCACATGTGCTTAGGGCAGATGTGCTCAGGTCTATGCCTCAGAAAGGGCTTGCAGACTGTGTGGGTTTGTATACCCAGGTTCGAATCTTGGTGGACTCTCCCCAGCGTCTTAGTTTGAGGAGCATCAGGAACTGTGCAGCTTTGAACCATGTTTGGGTACCTTTGTACTCAAATGTCCTTTAAGTCCTTGCTAGGGACTGTGTTCACATATCATTTCCCTTCACCCTAATCTCCCTTCCCTGAGGGTTTTAAAAAACACCTCCCATTGCTTTTACCTTTCCAGCAAATCTGGTTGCAGCTTGGATGGATGTCTTATCTTCCTTTGCAGGTTTCTAGGGGAGAGTTGAACCAGGTATCAGGTGTGCAGCATGGCTCTGATTTTATATAAATCTGAGGACCAGGGAAGAGAAGCAAGATCTATTCTCACGCCTCTGGGTGGTTAAGGTTTTGCCTTGTTTAAAACAGGGAGGATGGATTTCTCAAAGACTCTTCTGTTCCCCTTCTACTTTGGCTTTGGTTCAGAGCTGCAGGCAACTCCAGAATCTTCCTGAAGAGCTGGGTGCTATATGATTTGAAGGGCTGCAGGAAAGAATGGGTGTGTAGGCCTCTGACTTTTCTCCTAGATTGCTTGCAGCCACCTCCAAGGAGATGTGTCGCTAAGTGCTAACGGTGTCCCCTAGGAAGGGTTTGGATAAGGGTCTCCCCATGCATCTACTGCTTAGCTTTTGTAGCCATCAGGAAAAACCCGTCTTGTCTCCCTGGGTCTGCTGTTGTCTTCCCACCTGTTTGCAGGATGTGTGGGCATCTTTTCCAACCTACAGGGTCCTTGGCAGGGCTGTGCTCTCTGGGCCCTGTTTGTCTGAGGGCTACTGGTGTTGCAATGGGCTGTCTCTCTCTTGAGTGTCTGTTTCTAGCTCCACTCTGGAAGGGAAGGGTCCAACTGCAGACTCCAGGCTGGCCTGCTCTGTATTCATTCAGCCCCAGCAAAACTTGAGCAATCAGAGCCAGGGTTGAGGGCAAGCTACATTCTTTTCTGCTTTTCTGCTGCAGGATGCAGTTTGCTTTTTTTCCATGTGAATGAATTATGTTTGAAACCGAAATGGGAGGAAGGGAAAAATGGAGTGAGTTTGTATGGGTATGTGTGCGTGCATACCTCCATAGGCAGGGGGAGAGCAGCAGGCACATTATTTTTCCATTTTCCTTTAATTAAGGCTCTGTGGAGGTGTGTTTGAAAACAGAGGGTCTCCTATGCCTTTGAGGAGGGTGAGAACACTGTTTTGGCTGCGTCCCGGGCCATATGCAGCGTATGGTGGCCAATGAAACCGGGCCTGGCTCGTTCTGTTGCTTGTCTTGGCAGTCGGTTCCGTGGCTTGTGTTACCAGCTCTGGAACTTAGGGGCTGCCAAGCTCCGTGTGCCTGTGTGTATGTGTGTGTGTGCATGTGTGTGCACGCACTTGTGTGTGTGTGTGTGTGTGTGTGTGTGTGTGTGTGTGTGTATGTATGTGGTTTGGCCTTTCAAAATTTAGCAGAAACAAATGCCTTAGTGACCCAGACTCGGAATTTTCAGCCTGTGTTTCTTCACACTTACTGCTGACTGTGGGAGGCCCAACCAGAGCCCACCATACTTAGTTGTTGTTGTTGTTTTAGTCTCTTTTCTTGCTGCAGCCCATGGGATTCAGTTGTGGAACTCCATTCCCAAAGCTTTAGCTTGCCAGTGGCATTTTTACAAAGGACCAAAGCAGTTTCCACTCTCTGTTTGGATGTCTGTGCTATGTGTCTGCCACCAAGGACCAGAGCTGCGCTGAGGCAGGAAGAAAGGATAGAAAGCTTGTCCAGTGGCAGTACTTTCCTGGCAGAAATGACTTCATGCGTATTTATTGAGCACCTACATTAGGCAGAAGACAAAGCTGTGTCTATAGGCAGGGTATTATTGGAAGCATTTCTCTGGTCTCCAGGGAAGAGCAGGAGTCCCCTAGGGGGAGGTTGCAGGTTCTTCTTTGGCTGGGATGGCTATGCAGGGGTCATGCCTGCTGTGTGCAGTGGCTTCTCCTGAGCCCAGCCATCTCTCATGGAGCTTCTTATGAGGACCCGAAGAGTGACCCCTCCCAAGCAGCACAGGGATGGAGTAGGTTGAAGGACACAGAATATACTGGTCCTCTGCTTCTGGGGCCAGAATGGAAACCCAGCCTGTTGGTGCCTTGTTGCCAGTGGTCTATGCAGCTGTGTTCTGGCCTGCAGGGTAGAGGAGACCTTAGAATAAACTGAGACAAAGGGCAGGTGCTGGGCCCCATTTCTATACTTTTGTGAGCCCTGACCTGGAACCCTTTGTTTCTATTCTGCAGTTAACTGTCAGGATGCAAGATGGCCCTACTCCCTTGGGATTCAGAGCTGGAAAGTGAGAGAGCAGAGAATCCTTTGAGGAGAATCCTCCTAGTGGAGGTAGGAAAGGGAGACCACTGTTAGCGGGAACACTCCAGAAGGGACCTTGAGGGGTCATGCAGCACCTGAGCCTCTCCAGGAAGGAAGGCCCCTGTGGCTACGCTGACTTCACGCTCACTGTGTGCAGGCGCTGTTCCAGGTACTTTCCAGGCATTAACTCATTCAATCTTCTCAGCAGCCATCCAGGGCAAATAACTCGGCTATTCCCACTTTACAGCTGAGGAGAGTGAGGCGCAGAGAGATTAGGGAACTGGCTTAGGCTCACACAGCTAGTAAGGGGCAGAGCTCGGACTCACACCCAGGCGACTGGACTCCAAAGCTCCCTCTCTTACCCCACCTCCCGGCCCTGCCTGCAGAGCTGGGGATAGCCAACATCCTCAGTCTCTGGGCTTTCTCCATCCTCTTGCTCCTCGCCTCCTGGATCTCCTTGTCTTTTGGAAGCTGGTTGACCTACATCGTTCAGTTTCCAAGAGAGAGGTCATCCTGGATGACTCTGCAGCTCCAGGAAGAAGCTTGGTATTTAATTCTCCAAGATTTGTGATAGTGGGTACTACGCTCCGTGATCACTCGCCCGGCACCATCCTCCTCCTCTCCTGCCTTCTGCATCCTCTTGTCTCCTGGGAATCTTCCTGGGTGCCAACTCCCAAAACCTCCCACTCTTCTTGTCATTGCCACACCCTGCCCTTGTCTTCCAGCCCCACCATTGCTCTTGGGGCTTGCTCCTGTAACCCTCCCCACTCCTTGACTTGACACTTTTTCTTAGCTCCAGGCCTTGAGCCTCAGGCCATCTGCACCCACGTGCACACCCATTCCTGGTTCCTGATGCCAGCCCAAGCCAGCTGCTTGCCTGGAGGGGACCTAACCTTCTCAAAGAGGCCCAGGGATTGTATAGCCTCCCTTAAACCATTGTTTCTATGGACATGAAGTCCATGATATGCCTACCCTAAGTTTCTCTTAACCTGCCTTTTTATTTTTATTTTTTTCCTTCATCTGTCTTTGCCATCCTGGATGAAGATGCTGACTACTGGCCACTTTCTAATAAGACTGTCCCTTTATAAGTTTGACCCATCAAAGCAAGACCGTTATTTATTTATAGATACTCCCATGAAAAAAAGATTTAAGGTATCCTGCAGATTTATGCACAGCAAAGAAGAGAAGAAACTAAGAGGGCAGTTACCGCTACCTTTTTTCTTTTGGCTGAAATGACTCTTCATGTTAATATCTCCCAGGAGGGCCCATTTTTATGGACTTGAGATCTTTTGTGGCTTTTCTTCCGCTTTGCCATGCCCAAACTGTGTGCCTACAAATCCCCGAGGAAGTCAGAGCAGAGAGATACAGATATCAGATCCTTTCTTCAACTTCTTTCCCTGTGGATCCATCTGGTCCCTGTTTTTCTCAGGCTGGCTTTTAGTGAGCTGCATCAAATCGCCCATAATCTCGGGCTCAGCAACAGCTTAGGGTGGACTGTGACCTTCTGAACCCTTTCTGTCTTATTCATGCCTTGCTAGCCAGTCCCCATCTTGGATTTGTACACGACCCAGCTTCTCTTTGTTGGTTGGCTTCCAGCTGATTCCTAGTCAGTGTCCCAAATTGCCAAAGTCTTTTTGGACTCCAGGCCTGTGTTTTGAGGCACAAGCCCCATTTCCCAATTTGGATGTTCTTCCAACATATGGCGCTAGCTGGCTATTTCTGCACCCCACTTACTAATGGACACACGGAGGGTGTTTATCTGCCTTTCAGACCTCCTGGGCTTTGAAGGGAAAAAACTCCAGGTTCTTCTCCTAAAGCTTTTACTGAGTACTTCTCCTTTTCCTACTAAATTGTTTCCGTATGGAACAGCCAGTCTGGGAGATGATTTCACCTCTTGTCATCCCTCCTAAGTCTCTCTTGAAGTGGGTAAATTCCTCCTGGCTCTTAAGTGCTCCTTGCCACCACTGCCACCACCACCACCCCCATTTTTAATGGATCCCTAAATCACATCAAATTGTTTTATTTTTCAAATATCCAAAGTTGCCTTTCAGCCTTAGCTAGTCAGCCAGCTCTTTGCTGTTAATGAGGATCCAATTATGAAAGGCAGCCGCCCTGCGCCTCTGTCTCCTGCCCCCCACCTCAGAGATGTTTAGGATGGCTTCCCGCTGCCGAGTGTCAGCTGTTGTGGTTGCCGAGTTGTCTCCTAGGGAAGGCAGGGTTAAGGGCTTTGTGGTTTGTATCTGAGCACTGAGGGGCTCCCTTGCAGGGGAAGGAACGAAAGGAAGATTTCTACTTCTCCAAACGAAAGCCTTGGAGCCTGGTCCCCTGGGTGAGGCTTGTTACTCGGATGGAGTCACAGGGGAGCAGAAATGGCAAGAATTTGTGGGGCCACTGCTCCGGGGAGGGCACCCCTCCAGGGGGTTCCACAGTAGCAGATAATTCATTGTATTTGGGGATCATTTGTTAGTGTCTCATTTATACCATCTGTATGAAGATAAACAGTAGCTGCAAGCAGACACTGTCATTCCTAGAACAGAGTGGGGTCTGGCTTCCATCTCCTGGAGATGGCTTAGGCAGGGAAACACGCCGAAGCCTCTGGGGGATTTTTCTTGGGGTCTACTGTGGGAACAAATACCCTGGAGATGGAATGATAGCCTGGCAACGAGCATCTAAGCGTCCAGAGACAGATTTTTTATGCCACTTGCGGAATTTTGCTCTGCTGTGAATTTGTAATTTGTCCATTCATTCATTCATTCACTTATTTATTCGGCAAGTATTTATTGATTACCCTTTCTGCACCAGAAATGGTACTAAGCACTGGGGCCACCTAAGCAACACCCAGCCATGACTGCTGCTGGCCTCTGGAAGTCACCCCTTCACTTTCCAAGCGGCCGCACAGTTAGTTAGGCCCAGGCACAGTTTTTTTCTTGTAATTTAATTAATTAATTATATTTCACCTTATTATGGGGGTACAAATGTTAAGGTTATGTATATTGCCCTTGCCCTCCTCCCCCGTCGAGTCAGAGCTTTAAGCATGACCATCCCCCAGATGGTGTGCATCACACTCATTATGTATGTATATACCCAGCCCCCCTTCCCCCCTCCCACCTGCCCGACACCCAATAAATGTTATTCCTATATGTCCACTTAGGTGCTGATCAGTGAAACTAATTTAGACCCCTGCACCCAAATGTTTATAGCAGCACAATCCACCATTGCAAAGTTGTGGAAACAACCCAAGTGCCCATCAATATAAGAGTGGAGTAATAAAATGTGGCATATGCATCCCATGGAGTACTATTCAGCTATAAGAAACAACAGTGATCTAGCACCTCTTGTATTTTCCTGGATAGAGCTGGAACCCATTCTACTAAGTGAAGTATCCCAAGAATGGAAAAATAAGCGCCACATGTACTCACTAGCAAATTGATTTCACTGACCAAGCACAGTTTTGCCACATAGGAATGGGTTCTTGCACTGGCCCTTTCCTGTTCTCCCTAGAGGAGGGCGGGGGGGACGTGCAGCTCCTTCATGGTGCCCTGGAGCAGCCTCCTGGCCTGGCAGCCTGCGGCCCTCTTTGCATTACAGTCTTGGTTCCAGGACATGGAGAGGGGCTCTCTTGCTGCCCCTGGACTCCAGTCCAGCTCAGGGCCTGGGAGGATCACAGCACATAGAGCACCCCCCATGTGAGAGGTCACAGGGGCCCTTTCTATGTCTGGGCTCCCACTCAGGCTGCCATGTGTTATTCAGGAAACTTCTTAAACCTGGATCTCTGGTTTAGCCGGGCATGGTGGTATACGCCTGTAGTTCTAGCTCCTCGGGAGGCTGAGGCAAGAGGATTGCCTGAGCCCAGGGGTTTGAGGTTGCAGTGAGCTATGATGATGCCACAGCACTCTAGCTGGGCTGACAGAGCAAGACCCCTGGAGGTAGAGGGTCCTCTGTGCAGGAGAATGACCCTCTGCTATGGACTGGTGTCTGAAAGTCCACCATAGAAGCTCATTCCTTCTGCCAAAGACATCAACACCTCTTCCACCCCAGGTGGGGAAACAAAAAGGGCAGAGTGAGAAAGCTTTGGTCCTAACATCCAGGGACCAGGAGTCACCCTGGCTCTGTCCCTCTTTATCTGTGTGATTTTTTTTTTTTTTTGAGACAGAGTCTCACTTTGTTGCCTGGGCTAGAGTGCCGTGGCATCAGCCTAGCTCACAGCAACCTCAAACTCCTGGGCTCAAGCAGTCCTGCCTCAGCCTCTCAAGTAGCTGGGACTACAGGTATGCACCACCATGCCCGGCTAATTTTTTCTATATATTTTTAGTTGGCCAATTAATTTCTATTTATAGTAAAGACAGGGTGTCACTCTTGCTAAGGCTGGTTTCGAACTCCTGACCTTGAATAATCCTCCCGGCTCGGCCTCCCAGAGTGCTAGGATTACAGGTGTGAGCCACTTTGCCCAGCCTTTATCTGTGTGATGTTGAGTGGGTCATTTGACCTCTCTGAGCTTCAGTTTTCTCATGTCAAAATGAGGATGTGGTTTGGGTGAGCACAAGGGTCTCCCTTAGCTCTAAGACTATAATTCAGTGCGACTGAGTCTCAGATCCTTTTCTGAGAGGGCCCAGGGGACACTGGGTGCTAAGGAGGGGAAGAAGGGATGTGGGGTGGGAAGGAGCAGCTGCGGGGACCAGGTGTGGGAGATGTAGTAGGTGGAACACACGTGAAAGAGCGGGGGGGGGGCATGCTGTGCGCGGTGGCTCACGCCTGTAATCCTAGCATTCTAGGAGGGCAAGGTGGGAGGATCGCTTGAGGCCATGAGTTCAGGACCAGCCTGAGCAAGAGTAAGACCCAGTCTCTACATAAAATACAAAAATTAGCCGGACATGGTGGCATGTGCCTGTAGTCCCAGCTACTAGGGAGGCTGAGGCAGGAGGATGGCTTGAGCCCAGGAGTTTGAGGTTGCAGTGAGCTATGATGATGCCACTGCACTCTAGCTGGGGTGACAGAGCAAGACTTGTCTCAAAAAAAAAAAAAAAAAAAAAAAGAGCCTGGGAACACCACCAAATATAAACTTTGGAGCAAGGCCGGGAGCTATGGGCAGGTGGCTTCCTGGGCACATGCAGCAGGTGTTTTGAGGATGGTAGGTCTGCTGTCCATTACCGTGTACCTTTCTTTAAACAAGTGATGTCCAATGGAACATTTGTGGTTTGCAGGTGCAAATTACTTGCATGCTTCCCCCCTGGGGAGTGCAGAACCTATTGAGAAGTAAACACGGGACTTAGAGAACTGAATTTCACTGTCAAAAGTGAATGGAGATGGAGAAGGTGGTTTGCACTTGTGGCCAAAATAGGCTCACAAATGCCCTTCTCTTGAATGATCTAGACCTGAGAATCTGAATGGAGGCAGGTGGTTGTGAGTCACCCTACAGGGCCACTTCTGCAGGAGGCAGATAGCCCAACAAGAGACACGGGGTCTGACGGACAGCAGATCAATCTCCCGTCTTGCCAAATGCATCTCTCTCTGTGGGGAGAGACAGGTGGAGGTGGAAGGGTAGGCTGAAGATTTTCCATCAGGATTTCCTGGGGCTTTTGAATTTATGATCCTGGGTAGAAAGGTGAGAAGAGGGAGAAATAATTTTCTTTACAGGACTCGAATCCAGGAGCAGTTTTGTACCAAAATGCTACTGAAACGCTGCTTAGAAGCTAAGACTGTGCACATCTGACTTCCGTATTCCTAGGGCCTGCTGGCTCATAGGAAGTGGTCAGTGACCAGGTGGATGGATAGGTAGGAGCCCTTTAGGGGACTAGATGGCTTTATTGGCAGCCCCGCTCTCTTCACTGCCATCTGAGCCTTGAAGTGACCATTTCTTCACTCATGAGCTTCCCCCAGTAAAGGGAAGGAAGAAATAAGGACTCCCTTCGTGTTGACCTAATTGATGGCCTTTTGTGGCCGACTCTGTCTCCCCTTGCAGACCTTTTGGGTCTGGCAGAGCTAGAGTATGTATTTGCTCTGAGAATGAAGAGATCATGCAGCCGGGCGCGGTGGCTCACGCCTGTAATCCTAGCACTCTAGGAGGCCGAGGCGGGCGGATTGCTCAACGTCAGGAGTTCAAAACCAGCTCTGATCAAGAGCGAGACCCTGTCTCTACTATAAATAGAAAGAAATTAATTGATCAACTAAAAATATATATACAAAAAATTACTCGGGCATGGTGGTGCATGCCTGTAGTCCCAGCTACTCGGGAGGCTGAGGCAGGAGGATCACTTGAGCCCAGGAGTTTGAGGTTGCTGTGAGCTAGGCTGATGCCACGGCACTCACTCTAGCCTGGGCAACAAAGTGAGACTCTGTCTCAAAAAAAAGACCATGGAGAAATTTTCTGGTACTGGGTTCTACTGGGAAAGCACATGCTAATTAATTCCACCTCCTTTGCCTCAGCCTTTTCCTCATAGATATCAGACACACACACACACACACACACTCTCTCTCTCTCTCTCTCTCATTTTAACTTGGATTTGCTTCATCTCCTATTCAGGTGTCTTAACAAGTATGCAGAATAGGATGTCTGATTTGAGGGGAGGCACCATGCCAGACCAAAAATAGCTCCTTCTCAAACAGGTGCAAAGGTGCTTGAGATTCCGCCATTGTCATTCACTCTCTTTAGGGGCTGTCTGTTGCCAGTTAAGTCCCAGCTCCCCCAGTTTAACCTTGAGGGAGTTATCTTTCTAAGCTGTGGCTTCCACCTCTGTGTAATGGTCTCTGGTCTGGTCTAATGGGGCTGGTGGAAGGATGGCCTGGGTGCCCAGCACTAGCAAATGCTGAGTCAATGCTGCCTATGATTGCGAAGTATGGTCTTTAAAAAAAAAAAAAGAAAAACGCTTCTGGCAGTGGCAAAGGACGACCTTGGTGTGGATGAATCGATGAAGTTTTCCTGTGTAACAGGAAGGACTTAAGGGCAGGAAAAGCAACTGTGTGGGGAGGGGATTCGGAGGAACATTAGTGAAGGAAGCAGCAGGTCCTGGCAACGGTGGGGGGGAGGGGCTAAGCCCTCCTGGAGCCTCTACCTGGCTGACTGTGCCTGTCCTACTCTTCTCTCGCCCACTCCAGGCTGGCCTACCTCTCCTCCTGCTATGATGCCTGGGCAGATCCCAGACCCTTCTGTGACAGCGGGCTCTCTGCCAGGGCTTGGCCCCCTGACCGGACTGCCCAGCTCTGCCCTGACCGCAGAGGAGCTGAAATACGCCGATATCCGCAACCTCGGGGCCATGATCGCACCCTTGCACTTCCTGGAGGTGAAACTGGGCAAGAGGCCCCAGCCCGTGAAAAGTGAGGTGAGCAGAGCATCTTACCCCAGGCAGAGTCCTGGGGTAGGAGACCTGGGTTAGAGTCCCAGGTCTGGCCCTAAACCCGCCGTGGTACCTTGGCCTTGCTGTTCAAAGCGTGGTCTGAGGACTGGTAGCATCCGTGCCATCCCAAGGCTTGTTAGAAATGGGAAATCTCGGCCCCACCCTAGATCTTCTGGATAAGAATCTGCATTTTAAAAGATCCAGAGGCAATGAAGTTTGAGAAGCACCGGGCTAGGGCAGGATGCTTAACCTGTGTCTGGTTCTTCCAGGGGCAGGGAAGAGTGATATGATAACAGTAATGAATGCTAATGTGTTGGCAGTCTCTCTGGGATGGTGAAAGATCAGGCCAGATAATGGAAATGCACACATGTTTTGAAAAGTATGCAAGGGAATGCCAATATTGGGTTATCTTTAAAAATTGTCATCATTAGTCACATCATGGCCTCCACCCCTCTTGGCCCCTGTCTGCAGCTGAATGAGAGAGCTTGGGAAAAGAGTGGCGTGGACTCCCTTCCTAAGCAGCTGCTGGCATTGTCTGCCTTAGATGGTGGCTTGCAAAGGACCCCCATGTGGAGCAGCCCCTGCTCAGGTCCCCTGCACCTGAAGCTGTCACCAGCCCTTTTCTTGGGGCACTGCTGAGCAACAGAAGTCCCCAGTATGGCAGAGGATGAGTGCAGGGTATGTCCCCAGTCACTTGCCCAGGGCTGGCCATTTGTCCAAAGGCTTCCCCCAGGGAGGCCTGCCAGGCCTGCCGGAGTAGCTGCCACCTGGAAAGGAGAAGGGTCCCACGTCGGGAGGTGAAGAAGGGGCTGATGGGCGGGCAGGGCATGGGAAGCAGCTGAGCACCAGGTGCTTGGTGGCTCTGCCTGGGGGGATCATTCACAGAAGTGTGCCTCAGTGGAGCTCAGAGGGCTGGAGAGAGGGATTCTTGAATGGAGAAGGGAGTCTGGGTACCGACAGGGGAGAGGGGAGAGTTGGGGATATTATGCAACTGGGTCTCAGCTCCCCTTCTCCCCACGAGCACCATAAAAGCTGCAGAGAAGGACTGCTGGGCGCTTGGCTGGGGTGGCATACTGGCCGTTTGCAGGCTGGATCTGGCTCTAACATGTGTTTTGTTTGGCCAGCACAGTGTTTTAAAAGAAACTCAAACCCACATTTCACTCGAAAATGTTGATTAAAAAATTGGAAGATCTGGTCCCACACTGCCCTGTTCCGGCATGGCAATGGCTAAATGGAAAGACAGAGCCACTTCACTTTTTCTTGTCTCCAGTCTGCCACAGGCGCCTATACCTCCCTGTCATTCTTGATCCTGCTCACACTGTTGGCTTTGCTTTTGTTACCATCAGCTGCCTTCCTTTACCTCCACTGCCTGGTCCCTGCTGTGGCCACCTCTACTCAAGACACCTGCGTCAGGTACATCGTAGGTGCCCACTAAGGACTGTTGATTACAAGATGAGAGTTGACTGTGATTATCTTCTTCTGAATTGATCTTGTAAATCAGCGTGCTGTGGATAGCACTTCCTGGCTTATTTAGCGTCATGGTTTCTTTGTGGAGGACCCTGGTCTTTTGACCCTCTGCGAGTCACCGTCCTAGGCCCATGACTTGAAAGCATCTGTTTCTGGACCGTGCCGCAGGTGTCATTGCCAGTGAGAGCCAGCAGCTAAGCACTTTCACTGCGTGTAAACAGCCAGGTGCCTTGGGTGGGGGTTTGCCCAGCTGGGGTTTGCCTGGGACGCTGAGTTACCACCTCTCTCTGCAAAAGACACCGAAGGAACTTTCCTTTTCTTTGGAAAAGGCCTTTATTTGGGTTGGGTATTTTTACATTTTACAGCCACCCCCAAATTGGTGGCATCTGCCCTGTACCTGCCAGTGACGTGCTGTCCTCACAGGCACCCACAGACGTGCACCATCCAGGCCGTGAAAATAACAAGCCGTTTTTAGGGCATATTTGCATGTCCTCTCCCTCGCTGTCAGACTGCAGTTGTCACGGGGGCGGAGAGGCAGATGGAGAGGCGAGGAAGGAGGATCGTGCTGGCCCGCTCTGCTCTGGGAACCGACCTCCAAATGCTTCCTAAGTCAGACCCGGGATGGGGGGTAGGATCTGATTCTTGGAGCATCTAAAACCCCAAGGGATGGGGAGAGAAACTTGCAGCTGAAGAACCTGTGTCGCAAAGATGTATTTGCATAGGGCAAACTGCCTTTAGTGGATTTTCATGTCAGCATTTCAGACTGGTGAAAGTTTCTTAAATAATAAGCTACTAGCTCACATTTATTCAACATTTAATAGGTACCAGGCCATGCGCTGAATGCTTAATATGCATGGTCTTGTTTATTCCTTACCCAGTCCTGGTGACCAGCTCACCCCCATATTAAAGAAGAGGCATTCAAGGTCTAGGGAGGAGGTTCAGCCACTCAGGGTTACGCTGCTGGAAAGTGGCAGCACTGGGGCCTGGGTGACAATGACAGTGCCGCTGCTCTAACAGCCGTTTCTCTCTTGTGCTGAGCTAAGCACCAGGCACGGTACTAGGCACGCTTTGTGAAGTACCTCACTTGAACCCTATGAAGTAATTGTTGTTGTCATCGTTATACCCACGTTACAGATGAGGTCTGCAAGGCTTAGAGAGGTCCAAGGTCACTAGCTGGGAAATGAGCCCAGGCAGTCTGACTTCAGAGCCAAAGCTTTAACCATGTGCTGTGCTGCCTCCTTCCCCCACTAGACCCCTTCCAGGCATCTAACCAGAGTTCTGTTAGGCCAAGGAGGCCAGACGAACCTGAACCTGGCCCCAGGCGCTTGATCACTGTGATGGCATGGCCCAGTCAGTGCTGAGGCCTGCAGTTCTACAGCCTCATCGTCTCCCATGCCCCAGAGAGTGCACGGGCCAACCCACCGTGCAGGCAGCTGTGTCAGGGCTGGCTCAGGGCTGTCCGCCTTGCAGAGGCCAGCAGTCTCCTGGGCCGGGTCCAAATGCACAAAGCAGTTCAGTAAAAGAAAACTGGAGGAATTAAGTTAAACAACAAGTTTTGTGAACTACAAAGTGCTTTGTGTTGCTGTTGTTGTTATTATATAGCTGACTCATAGTGTTAAACTGTTTTGGTGCCGACTGCTTGCCTGCAGTCCATTTGTTCACCTGCTATTTGTTAAGCACCTACTATGTGCTGAGCACTGTGCCAGGCACTGGGAACTGAACTACGGAAAAGTGGACGAAGCCCCACATCTCTTGGAGCCATATACTGTAGTGAGGGCGTCTGGAGGTAAGCAAGTTAATATGTGAAATAAAAGGGCAGGTAGTGTCAGTAACATGAAGAAAAATTAAGTGGAGCAAGGGGTGGACAGTGGCAGGACTGCTCAATTTGATGGTCAGCCAGGGGCTCTGGGGACATCATTTCCTGGTCACGTTAGAGCTGTTGCTTCTTTCTTGCCTGTTCTTTCCTTTCCGTATTCCTTTTCAAGACAGCTTTGCCCTCCGGCTTTCTCAAGAGCTTTCCTTCCTCCAGTTTTCATCCTGCTGTCCCTGTTGGCCTGGAGATCTTGGCCCTTCCTGGCTGCTAGCAGGCTGCTGTGGCTATGGTGGCCACACCCTGCTTGTGGGCCTGGAATGCATTTTCAGCTGGGAGGGGAGGGAGGCCAGAGGCCCCACCCTTGCGCACACACATACAGCCACCCAACCCTCACTTAACAAACAACCTGCCAGACGGGACCCCTCACCCTCTGGGCCCTAGAGGGGACTCAAGAATTCAAGGGAGGCTGGACTGGATGACCTCTTAAGAAAGGAGTCAGCCTACAGATGAGTCTTGTTTGGCCCTCGCACTGTGGTTTTCTTTTTCTTTCTTTCTTGTTTTTGTTAAATTGAATAAATCGCTATATTTAAAAGCCGGGAAATATAGACTTTTCTTTTCTTTTCTTTTTTCTTTTCTTTTCTTTTCTTTTCTTTCGTTCTTTTCGTTCTTTCTTGAGACAAGGTCTCTCTCTGTTGCCCCGGCTAGAGTGCAGTGTCATCATCATAGCTGTCATAGCTCACGACAACCTCAAACTCCTGGGCTCAAGCCATCCTCCTGCCTCAGCCTCCCAAGTAGCTGGACGGACTACAGGTGCACACGACCACACCTGGCTAATTTTTCTATTTTTTTGTAGAGATGGGGTGTCACTCTTGCTCAGGCTGTAGACTTTCTTATTTCTTTTAAAAAAACAGAATATCTAGTCACTCTAGGCCACACCCTCATACGCAGTAAGAGGCTGGGGCTGAGGAGCAGATGCCGTCTGTACTAGCATGCTGTCTTTAGTTCTCCAAAGTCTCCGCTGCTCCCTGTTGCCTTACCCCCAGCCCACTTCACAGCGTCTGTGTCACCAGACTGTGTGTGAGTCTGTGTTCCATATTTAGGTCCCATGGGCATGGACTACATTTCTTTTTACTTCTGCCAAACTCTGTTCAGTGCCTCGCGTGGATCGTACATGTCTAATACTTGCTAGTTGGTTTGAACATTATCAATGGTGTCAACTTGGCAAGTCGAGTAAACCTTCTGTCTCTTGATTGCTGTATCTCTCAATTCCTACCTGCAAGCATTTTTAGTTAGTATTCTATTCCTGAATTTAAATGGCTTCAGGCAGAAAAAAAAAGAACACAATGAAAATCAAACCAATCATTCTCAGACTTGGCTGATCATCAAAACAGCTTGGGAAACTTCTTGAAAACGTAGATTTTCCGACCCTACCCCAGGCTCACGGAATTGGAATCTCCGAGGGTAGAGCCCGGAGAGTCTGTGTAGTTAGTAGGCTCAGAGATTCCCCAGCTGCATTTGGGAACGTAACTCTAAACTGTTTATACCGCTCCTCAGGCTCTTCTGATCCTTGTCAGGGAGCATTCCAAGGCTTCCACCTTGGGGTCAGTGAATACTGCATGCCACCATGGACTGTCCTTTCCAACGCGGTGCAGTTTCCTGCACATATTCCACCTGGTCACCGGATCCGTGCGCTTGTTATTTTCAT